AGGTACAGACACACTGCACTGTCACAGCGTCAGAGGGGAAGGGGAAGCTGGGCCCTGGGGACCAGAGATGATTCTGTTTCTTTGTTTCTTCCAGAGGCAGGCCTGGGGGGCCGCGCCAGCTGACCCCGCCTCCTGAAGGACAGCGGGGCCTGCCGAAGGCTCCTGGCACTGAAGCCTGGGATCCGCGTCTCTAAGGGCCATCTAAAACGTGGCCTGAGTGGTGGGGACAGGCTGGCTTGCGAAGCTGCTGCGGCTCCCTCCAGCTCCCCACGGGCGTGTCCATTCCCCAGCTCGGCGCCTGGCAAGCAGTTAGACTCCTGGATTCCGCCCAGGGTTCTCCTCCACTGGGACGCAGGGCCTGCTGTGGCTGGACCCTGGGGAGAGAGAGAAGGAGAGTGGATACCCACGCCGGTGCGGGGAGCGTCCTACCAAACCAAGGCCGAGTCTCTAGGACAGGGAGCAGCTGGAAAGGCAGAGGGCCCGGGAAGTCTCAGGAGGCGTTGGAGCGAGGTGGAGTGGCCGGTTGGGAATGCGGTCAGCCTGTTTTGACATCACAAGGGAAAAGCCACTTGGAGGACAGAGGCCATTGAGAAAGACAAGGAACCTGGGCCACGATCTCTGGCCCAGAGAGGCCCAGGCCACTACACTGGGCAGGAGAACCTGCTTGGGACCACACACCCGGTGCTGGAAGGAGAAGCGGATTTCTCAGCCCTCCTGTGTTCCAGAGGATGACTGTATGCCCCTGGCCCCACCCGGGGAGAGACCCTCCCACCGGGAGCTCTCTGCTAGCGCGCAGGAAGCCAAGCCAAGAGAAAGAAGGGAGATATTTACCTCAGTGTTCTCTGAAAACAAAAAAGGCTCACTAGTCCCAGTCATCTATCAACTGCAGTTTCCAAATGTGCCAAAGAGGGAAAGGTCTACTGGGAAGGCTAAAGAGAGCAGAGAGAGAGAAGAGACGGCAGGCTGTCGGGCGGTGGTGGAGACGGAGCCGGGGCTCCAGCAGCACAGAGGGAGGGCAGTCCTGGGAGCCACGTGCAGAGCAGTGAAGCGCCAATCTCCTAGTTTTGCAGGCCATTTGGGCTCTGTCACAGCTACTCAGTTTCACTGTCATCTTTCAGAAGCAGCCACATACAAGCCACAAACAAATGGGGTCTACACCCGGGCAGCTGGCCCGATCTGGTCCCTGCACCATGGTCTGCTGACCCCTGCGGGAGGCAATTTGCAATGACCATTTTCCAAACATTTCAATAAAGGCCATCTCTGGCAGGGATCTAGTGCCAGGCTCCAGGGCACAGTTCACCCTGCACTACTTAATCAGCAGCACCCCACTGAGACCACCCTGCGCTCTTCAGGAAGTGGAGGCCACGGTAACAGGACACCCCAGGAAACCCCGAGAGTTCAGGCAAGGAGCAGAGACAGCAAGCAAGTCTCAGGGAGGCAATTCAGGCTGCAGGCAAGTGACAGCCACCAACACCGTGTCACAGAGCATGGGGTGATCTGTCACAGAGAGGGGATGCCCCAAAGCCACCGCCAGGACTCTCTCATGGGATGGCTCAGTGCTCAGCCGGAAGGGTTTTCACCAAGCCTCTTGGGGATGGGGTGAAGCTCAGTGGGCGATGCTTGCTGAGCATGTGCAGGGCCCTGGGTTCCACCCCCAGCGCCTTTAAAAAGCCAAACAAGCTGCGTCTGCGCAGGGGCTCTGAAGGCAGTGGCACACGAGGTCTGCACCCCGCCCGGGCTGCAGGTGGAGCCAGAGAGGGCTGACGGGAACCCAAGACAAACGGCTCACTCGTTAAAGATCAGTCTTGGGTTTGAGCGGGAGGCTGGACCCGGCACCCCACGTGAAGGGGCACATAGCCCAGCGGGGAGGGCGGCCACGTGGCACTCCTGCTTCAGTCCAAAGCCTGGGCCCACCAGTGCCCGGATCTGGAGCCCACAAAGGCTGGGCTACCTCCGTGGTCCCCAGGGTTGGGGGACTCTGCCCTTTACACACACACACGCCACCTTGCGATTCAGAAACACCTTTTGTAAAAACATCTCTGCACTCTGGAGCACAGGTCTCAGTCACCAGAGCGGCGGTCCCCTGAGGCCCCACAGGCCAGGGTCCTTGGCCCCCACTTTGCTTCTGTAAGACGGGCAGAGTGGCTCTCAGGACCCCACAGAGGCAAAGGCACCACAGGCTCAGGCCTGCGCCCAGGGTGAGTCTCAGCAAGAGCTGGCTCCCCAGGGCAGGGGGGCGAGGAAGTGGGGCCTGCACCCGCCCCTCTGCAGCCTCTGAAGCCCAGCCAGGACTCCACCCCAGGACTCCACGGGCCTCAGGGCCCCATGCCCCCGCCCTCTCCACTGCCGCTTCACAGGGCCACATCTGCTCCCCAGCTGCTCCTGCTCAATATGGAGCCCCAAGGAGGCTCTCACTGCCCGCCACCCCACTCCTCTGCCACACCCCTTCCCAGCCAGGCCCGCGGCACCCCAAGTCTAAGTGGCCAGAAGTTTCTGGACTGGATGGACCTGGCCGCCAGCTCCTCTCTATAAAGCTGACCATTCTGAGAGGCCCTCGAAGACCCAGCGCCAGCCGAGCTACAGCTGTCACCCAAGCCACTCAAAACAGCAAGAAGGGACAAGGACAGGGAGAGAGCAGAGCCAGGAGGCCAGGGCAGGTGGGCGCAGCCAGCAGGTCTGAGGGAAGCGGCCAGACCTGCCGCGAGGCTTACCCGCGGCTGCCGTGGTCTTGTTACTGAGGAGCCTGGTCTGACTGCCTGGGACGACCTGGAGGTCAGAGTTTTCGGGGGACGGTGGCAGGCTCTGGGCTCGGGTGGCCAGGAGTGCATTGAGGTACTGCAGCCGCGTGACCTGGAGGACAGAGGTGTCACCCAGCGGGGGACACGGCGTGGTGTGGGCTCGCACCTCTGGCGGAACTGGATGGCAGGGCGAGGATGCAGGGAGAGGAGCAGGAAAGGGCAGAGGGCAAGCGGGCAGAGGGGGCCAGAGACCAGGCCCTGAGACCACTAAGCCACGCGGTCAGGGTGCCCAGGGAGTCCAGGCCTCAGGACAGCCAGGCCAGGGTGGTGAGGTGTCCAGGGAATCAAGGCCCCACATTTGGGCAGCGCAGGGCCTGGTCTTGGGCCTCAGGGCCGCTCAGACCTCACTCTCCTCCACACACACTGGTGACCAGCTGGCCTAGCCCCTTGGGTCCCAAAGCCAGTTAGTGCCAACACAACACGCAGCCCAGGCGGTCACCTTGATGAGCTGAAGGTCAGAGAGGGCCCTCACGGTGTAGTCGGGACAGTAGGTGGAGGAGCGGGTGCCCTCGGCTGGCTCGGGCTGCAGGTCATGGCGGGTGGCCTGGTGCGAGGGCACCGGGGACTGGTGAGCTGTCAGGAGGAACAGGCGGTGAGGACACCGCTGGGCAACTGCTGGCTCTGCGGCCTGCCCCCGTCGCCCCGAGAGGGGACAGGGTCGGGACTTGGGGGAGGGCAGAAGACACCACAGGGAGGTTCTGCAGGGATGGGGGTGCACCAGGTGAGCAAGAAGGAAGCCTGTCCCCGCTCCAGAGCCAAGAGACGCCCTGCGGGGACCGGGGCCGTTCCGCAAGCCAGGACCCAGCCCTCAGAGGTAGGGGCTGCGGCTCACCCGAGGACGGCGTGGTCAGGGCGGACACTCCATAGTAGGTGAAGGCCCCGTTCTCAAACTTCAGGCCCTCCTTCCCGATCTCCACCTCAACCCTGCCCTGGGAGGAGGGAGGGCAGGCAGACAGACACGGGCACGGGTTAGCGTCCCCAGGAGGAGCACCAGGTGAAATCCCAGCGACCTGGGTGGCGGGCCTGTGGCCGTCCTCCAGTCACCTGCAGGATGAGGACGAAGTAGTCCACCGGCCGGCTGCGCTGGTACAGGTAGTGGTGGGCGGCCAGGCGGTCGCTCTCATCAAACTTCACCTCCTGGTTGACGCTCGGGTGCCTCAGCAGGTGCAGGAGGACCTTCTCAGAGATGCGCAGCGGGCTGAACACGTCCACCTCTGCCCCAAAACCGGAAAAGGAAGAGTGCCCACGGGCTGAGCGGCCTGCGTGCACCTGGCTCCTGCGCCCGCACCCCGGGCTCCCCTGCACCTGAGCTGCCACCTTCCACAGAGAGCAGGGCAGGGCAGGGCAGGGCAGGGCACATGTGGGCCCAGCTGAGGTTCCCTGGCCACCCTGGCCAGGGGCAAAGCCCAGTTCTGCTCTTGGTCACTTGGGTCAGCCCTGGGGTCACCTAAGAGGCTGACAGAGCTGCAGAGAAAGCACAGATGTTGTTCCGCGTGACTCTCCTGTTTACTAGGATCAGGAAGCAGCTGGTGTCCACCGTGGGTGGTCTCCTGACCCACGGACAGTGAGTGGAACAGGGACATGGACCCCTCCTCTCTCACCTCGGGAAAGGAAGCGCTGGGTGGCCAGGAGCAGCTGAGGCGAGATTTTTACTTTGTACTCCTCGTCAGACACCTTGAACAAGGAGAAGTCCTCCTTGCGCTTGAGCGGGGCACTCAGGGAGGTGGCTGTCCTCCGCACGGCAGCATCTCCTGAGGGGTGAGAAGATGGCAGCTCAGGCACAAGCAAGAGTCTCATGCACGCAGACCCTGGGCCCATTGGGGCTCTGCTGCCCGCTCCTTCTTCCCCAGGGATGCAACCCTGTCCTGCTCCCCCATGGAGCCTGGCGGCCATTCCTCTCCAGTGAGCCTGGTGCCTAGGATGGGGGCAATGACCCTCACTTCCCAAGGAAATGAGGAAGGGGCCGCCCTCTTGCTTGGAGTTGGGTAGAAAAAATGCTGATGAGAAGAGCTGTCCGTCAACACAGGCCTCCCGGGGCCCTGCTGAGGACTGCTGGTGGCAGGCAGCAGCAGCAGTGGCAGTGGACACTGACCTCGGGACCTCATGCCCGGTCAGTCTCAGGAACTGAACTGAAAATGCTGTGCTTGGGAACAGACGTGGGGGTAAGCCACGTGCTTGGCAGCACAGAGCAGTGGGCAGCTCAGGGTCCCAGGTGCCCGTATGAGGCCCACAGCCCTGGAGCACAGGCCCTGTGTCTGCCCTGCAGGCCGCAGCCAGCATCCTGAGAGGAGGAAGACACACTCTAAGGCCCCAGGCTGTGGCGGGAAGATGCTCTTGGTGATCAAGAATGGGTTCCTGTCCCTTTCTGTGGTGCTGGGGCTGGAACCCAGGGCCTCATGCATGCCAGCAGGCAAGCACTTTCAACGAGGCCTCATCCCTGGCCCAAAGAACGGCACAAAACGACCTGCAGCAGAAGACACGAAAACTGGAAGAGCCCAGGAGGGACAGAGAGCCCAGGAGGGACAGAGCCAGGAGGGACAGAGCCCAGGAAGGACAGAGCCCAGGAAGGACAGAACCCAGGAGGGACAGAGCCCAGGAGGGACAGAGCCCAGGAAGGACAGAGCCCAGGAAGGACAGAGCCAGGAGGGACAGAGCCCAGGAAGGACAGAGCCCAGGAAGGACAGAGCCCAGGA